TGTGTGTTCGCCTATGATGGAAGCACCATGTGGTAGGGCAGATGGGGAGAGGAGAAACTGATGGGGTCTTTTGGGGAGAGGTGCTTTCTGGGTAAAGCATGAGATCCTCTCTTGCCTACGACATTGTGCTTTCAAGTGCAGTAATAATCAGTAACAAGGTATTTGATGCTACTGTGACAGCTGTGTTGATTTTGTTAGTGGGATTCAATGTGTTAGTATTTTTCCTCAGCAGTTTGCAAAATTTTGCCCTTGGCAAAGGCAAACGCCTTTGTATTTGTGTGATCTCTTTGACAATGTGTTTTGAAACTTTCTCCAGAAATTTTGTGGGCTCAGTGTTTATAAGCCCCATATAGATTTTGTATGCTTTAAAAAAATATTAAGAATTGGGATTGGAGAGATGTCGAGTAGTTAAGAGCACCTGGGTTTGATTCCTAGCAGCCAAATGGTGGCTAAAAATCGTCCTTAATTACAGTTCTGGGGAATTTGGCACCCTCTTCTGATCTCCATGGGCATTGCATGACTGGGTGCACTTACATACATGCAGACTATGTGCTCATGCACATTAAATAAAAATAAAATATTAAACATCACCAACTTCAATCCATCCTAAAACTACTCACTGCTCACCCTGGCATGGTGGTATATGCCTTTATTCCCAGCACTCAGGAGGCAGAAGCAGGCAAATATCTGTGTGTTCAAGGCCAGCCTGGCCTACATACAAGGCATACAAGTTACATAGAAGTTACATAGAAGGCATCTGTGGCTACAAGGAGATCCTGTCTCAAAAAGACCAAAAAGGAAAAAAAGAAAAAAAAGAAAAAGAAAACAAAAAACCAAAAATAAACTGCTCACTGGACCTCAAGTTAAGAACTAAAGGGTTGCGGCTGGAGAGATGGCTCAGTGATTAAGAGCACTGGCTGCTCTTATAGAGGACCTGGGTTCAATTCCCAGCACCCACATGGTGGCTAACAACCATCTGTAACTCCAGTTCCAGGGGGTCCAATGCCATCTTCTGATCTCTGAGGGCATTGTATGACCTGGGTGCACTTACATACATGCAGGCAATACAGTCATATACACAGGACAAAAATAAAGAATTTTTTAAAAATCTGAAGGTTTAAAGATTATTGCAGAATGATGGCAGTGAAAGATGCATCTCTTATTGTTTTAATTTTTATTGCAGTTATTTGTGTGTGTGTGTGTGTGTGTGTGTGTGTGTGTATGTGTGTGCTCATGCACAATTGCAACAGCATATGTATAGAAGTCAGAGGACAACTTGCAGGAGGCAGTTGGTTATTTACTTCTACAGTGTGGGTCATGGGGATTGAACTCTGGTCACTAGGTCAAGTGGTAAGTACCTCTACATGCTGAGTAATTTCACTGCCCCCCTGTATAATGATTTTTAAATTAAACTTTAAACAAAATATTGGTTCTTAGTTCTATAATTTATGCTGTATATGACTCAAGACTCATCTCTTAAAGAGTGAAGAGAACCATAATTTAGATTGCATAGCCTTGCTTTACATTATTTTATAAAGTGCTTTTGCTTTGTGTATCACAACCGAATCACTAGCGCTCTCTCTCTCTCTCTCTCTCTCTCTCTCTCTCTCTCCTCTCCTCTCTCACTCTCTCTCTCTTTTTGAGTACATTGAAGGCAATGTAGTAGTACATTGAAGGCAAATGACCTTTAGGTGAAAAACAAAACCTGTGGTTTTTCATGTAGTTTAATTCTCCCTGACATTTGGTTTTGGACGGTTTGGCAGCTCCAACTCCCTTTTTTTGACCATAGGAATCCAAGCAGAATTCCAAATAGATGGCAAATATTCTAATTCCACTTGAACATTTATTTCCATAATCCCACCCCATAGAAGCAACTTCCCATACTGCTTTCGATCTGATCTCACCAACCTCAAATCTCTGTATTAAACAGACCAAATAAATGATAATTCATACTTCTAAAGGCTCTTCTCTATAATTTTGGAGATTTTTGGTCCAAAATAAAAAGAATATGACAAATAGAAAGGAAAAGAAAAAAACCTGCAAAGCAGAATTGTGAATCTCATGTATTTTTGCATCTAAATATCGACCTACATTAGACTATAATGATGATTCTAAATAGATATAAATATAAATTGTCAGACTAGCTAATGGACCTATACATACATAAATTATTTTAACACACAGAAATAGGACAATCAGATTTAACCAGAGATGACATAAGAAAACCTGAAAATGTGTGCAATATAAAGAAATTTTGTTTTTTAAATGATGTGATTGGTTGAAAATTATTAGATGTGTGGTTTTTCTCTTGTAGTACTGATGTGACGATGTATGTAGTCTAACATGCATCCGGACAGCACATAAAAAGTTGAATTCATCAGTCACTAAATCTACTGTCTACTAGGAAGTACTTCATTTTCTCCTATACCAATTTATGGAATATTTAGAATTGTCTGCCAAGCTGTATCTGAAACTATTAGGGAAAATTCGATACGTAAAATGGGTTTATGTTTTCCAGACTCTATTTAAGATGGAACTCTCTGTTTCATCTCTAAGTATCATCTGGCACCAAGCGCTTTTTTTTCTCTACAGAAGTTTCCACTCCTGTGACACATCTTTTCATTGGACTTCTGTTCTATGTTTGTTATAACCCATCGGGGCAAAAAACTTACCTCATAGGAAATGCTATTATAAGAAAATAAAAATCCAAAATACACTGGATTATTTTACTGAAACTCCATTTATTGTGTAGAATGCAGAATTGACAAATGAACACTTTAATTGGTAGCGTGATGAGACAGTCCTTTCAGAGAAGAGGGAAAGGCTTCAGAAATAAAAGCAAATAGTAATAAAGATGTTGATGGTGGCAATCATTTTCATTAATTGGGAGCTTGTTCAACATGTAAAGATCTGAAGCTCTTCTCTTCCCCCACTGAATCCTGATTTTTTTTCTTAATTAAATTGTTTAATTTCTATGCAAAGTTGGAGACCTCCTACTTTAGGTTCTCTAATTGTCCCAGAACTTCAGCATTAAGGGTGAGACAAGATATTCTGTCAGCCTCTGCCCACAATTTGTTCAGCCATACACTTAAGACGAGTGTTCTTTTGTTTGTGTTTGTTTTTTTTTTAAAACTAGCAAACTCAGATTTACCTGAGTACTTTGAAAACACATGAAATCTATTTCAATGGAAACAAGCAGTACATCATAATGGACAGAGCACTGTATTTATGTAGATCATCTCTAACATGGCTTTGTGGGTATAACAGTCTTAGTGTTTGTTGTATGTGTACAAAGCTGAATTTGATTTTAGAGTCTGGATTTAATTTTAAGCATCAAAGTTCTTAGTGTTATAAACTGTCCTCTCTCCATGACTTTGCTTCTGCAATAGTAAGTGACAGTAAACAATTTAAATCTGAAGAAAGAGTTTTCCATATTTTGAACTGATAATCTACCTTGAACTAAATTCTATTTTCTTCCTGTCCTGATTTATATATAAATCTGACCCTTGCTTATCTCCTGTAAGTTTTGTATAGGGGACCTAAAGTTGCTAGTTAATTAAATTAATTATATAATATAATAAACATTTTTGGATGCCTAAAACATTTGATAGTTTTTGGGATTGAAGAATTTTGTAAATTAACAACTTTTTATTAACTAGTTCTTGATCATGTTAAAAAGGATTTTTGTCATTTCACCAATTTTATTGTATTTTCTTCTTTTCCTCTTCGGTTTTGCAGAAGATAATTTCAAGTTAATACAAAAAGCATATTTGTATGTTTGTATCAAAAAGAAAAGAAAGACAAAACAAAGTAGTGAATACCTCAGGGATTCTAGGCAGTTCTCAGAGTTTTATGGTGTCATTATCGATTTATTATTTCTCCCAAATTTTCTGAAGTTATTATGTTGTGACATCTGGCAATACAAAGAGATCAATTGGTTTAGTTTGTACTCTAAAAGGAAGCTATTTTATTATTATACTAATATGTATTTATGACCTTAAAAGATAAATTTGCATACCAGTTAAAGTGAACTCCCATTATCTCATGATGTTTTATCGAGCTTTGCTTTATTAAATAGCATAAAGTACTGGACAGAATCTGAATGGTTTTCAGGTTGTCGGATCATTTTGAGGTTCCTGAATGGGCAAACTGTGTCTCTAGTCATTAAAAATGAACAAATTGGCACCTAGTTCTTACCTACATAAATGTTGACTTAAAAATTGGTTTTGGTAATTGTCTATGAATTTATAAAAACTCAAAAGTAATGCTGTCTTTAAAGAAATGCTTTGTAAGCATACAGAACATGCTGAATGAGTGGCTAACAACATGGCATCCTATGTTTTGGTTGTATCTTGGTGAATCATATCATCATAGCCCACACTTTTGCTGTGACTACTTCTGCCTGTTGGTGAAAACTTGTACCAGTCACAAGGACTCACAGAAAAATTCAAGCATTTGTATTACATTTTCACGAATGTCCAGATTAACTCATGGTTTTCCATTTGTCTTTGCTTAGAATTCCTTGTAGATAGGTAACAATCTCATTCAAGGAAGCTATTTTTATCCACTTTCCAAAGAATTAAAGTTTTTTTTAAATGAAGGTTATATATATATATATATATATGTATGACAATTCCAATACCTCCAGGTAAGGTTATTTCAGCAATGATCTATTTTTTTTAAGTTTCATTTTTAAATTGTGTGTGTGTGGGTGTGTGTGTGTGTGTGTGTGTGTGTGTGTGTGTGTGTGTGTGATAGGGTGCGGGTGCCCATGGAGGCCAGAAGAAGGTGTCAAATATCCCTGGAGCTGGAGTTAAGGGTGGTTGTGAACCACCTGATGTGAGTGCTGGGAATCAAACTCTGGTCCTCTGTAAGAGTGGTATGCTTTCTTGATTCTGAGTTGTCTCTCTAGCCCTTTAACAGTGTTCTTATAATTAGCTTTATTTGCATCGATTTTACTCTGAAATATTTTACATTTGAATTCCACTTTTCCTTTTTAGCTGTGTTTTGGGGTGATATTGCCTTAGATGATGAAGACTTAAATATCTTTCAAATAGATAGGACCATTGACCTGACACAGAACCCCTTTGCAAAACTTGGACATACCACAGGTATGGATGATTATTTGAATATATTTATATTTATTTTGGAGAAAGTACACTTGAAATCCTTTGAATGCTCTTAATGTCTCACTGACCAAATTTGTATATGGAAATAAGCATAGTTTGAAGTTTAGGTTTTAGTAATAATTTTTATTTTATTATTTTATTTAACAACCACATGGTTGCTCTGGGCCAAGCTTGTTTCTGCATTAATAACTTTCATGTAAACCTCAGAGGTAATTTCAATTTTAGTTTTTCTGAATATTTTTGGATTATGCCTAAATGAAAATTGAGATGTTTAGAGGATTACTTTTATTAAAATTAAAATTTTCTTTATAATTTCTTGGTAAAAAAATTATTCTGCATTCTATTTTGGATGAAATTGCAAGTCCTAAAGCAAAAACTTTTGCTTTTTCCTTTAGTTGGTAAATATTTGGGTTTTTTTTATGTTATTATTGTTGTTTGAAAGTGTCTCATATAGTACCAGGCTGTCATCAAACTCCTGATTCTTTTTAAAATGTATATTTTATGGAGTTTTTATGCATTTCATATAATAGATCTTAACCATGTTTAGGCCCCCATCTGCACCTCCCTGTAATCCCCCCACAGGACTTCATGCATTCTGCCATATATGTCAAGGCCTTTCCAGTCAAGCATTTGTATCAGATGAAACAGGGAACAGAGAGAATGCTAATACATCCCTCAACTCTCAGCAGTGAAGCTTCTTCATACAACAGAGAGCGATGCACACAAACTCCTGATTCTTCTACCTCTGCCTCCTGAGTGCTGGGGTTACAAGCATGTGCCACCACACCAAGGTCTAAGCTCTAAAACATTGATTCACTGTTATGCCTTTTGATCTCAGTTCATTCCTCTCTGTGCTATTTTTCTTCTTCTATTCCACAGAAAGTTAAAGATGTAGTTCTTTCTGGTATCTATAGATAAATACATTTTAGAGTTAAGACTTTTTGCTATGAATCAATATTTCTTTTCTAACTCAGTTTTGGGGCAGCCCTTTCTATTTCAGTAAATTCCAACATACAGAAAGGCTGACATGATACTGTAGAAGATGTCAGTGGTTAGTTCTTAGATTTAGCAATGGCTAACAGTTTGCTCTATTTGTTTTCTGTATGTGGACATGCATGTGCAAAAAGTGAGGAAATATTTTGAAATTATTTACAAAAATATGTCTAAAATGTAATTTTCAATGTAATTTTCTAATTTCAGTATTAGACATTTTAGCAAATAGCTTCTAAGAATAAGGACATTGGCATATGCAGCTAAAGTACCATTATCACAACTAAGGAAACAACTTGAAACATGAAATATAAAAAATGAACTCTAACTCATTTAAAAATAATATGTTTTGACTTTTTTTTGTCTTTTTGAGAAAGAGTCTCCCCTTAGCCCCTGCTGTCCTGGAACTCACTATGTAGACCAGGCTGGCCTTGAACTCACAGAGATCAGCCAGCCTCTGCCTCCCAAGTGCTGGGATTAAAGGTGTGCACCACCATGCCTGGCTTGCTTTGGCCTTTTTATACACAGTGTCAATCTTTCCTGTTGCTGAATTAGTATGAAAGGAAAAACAAGCTTTATTTTTTCATTTTTAATTTGTTTTTTATTTTTGGTCTTTTTTGAGACAGGGTCTCCTTGTAGAGACACTGGAACTTGCAATGTAGATTGTGCTGGCCTAGATCTCACAAAGATCCACTTGTCTCTGCCTCCTCCTAGTGATGAGATTTAAAGGTGAGAGTCACCACGCCTGGCTACCCAAGCTATATTTTTAATGAATAGCCTTTTATTGCACATATATGTACATATACAAATATAAATACATAGATAATATTTGTGTTGTATGTGTAACTATGTATCATAAGACAGCTTGTGAGCTATTGATAACTACAGCCTCTTTATGCTGCTCTGTCCAGCGCATTCCAAGCACTGAACAACTGATTAGCACAAAAATTTGCTCTGTGAATGCAGATAGATTTTCGAAAGTTAGGAATATCTATAACCTTACACACACACACACACACACACACACACACACACACACACACGCACAAGCCAAGTCTCCTTATGACATTCTCATGCCTCCCTGGGCACAGTTGATCCTCCTTCCAATCTTTCCCCTCCAGGCTTTGCTTTGGAATCAGAACCAAAATCTTCCTCAACAGAATGTTTCTTGGTGAACTTCTTAGTCACCATGTGACTCTTACAACTTTTCTGAAGGCAGTTTAATCCTGGACAATAAACTGCTGACACTACTCAACAAAATCCCGTATTTGTGAAGTTGCGTTTTGAGCTTCTATTGAAGTTTCCCTTGCTGTAGAACATTCCTTTAGCCTCACTTCACCATTATTTTGGAGCCATTAATTTTCTATTACTAAATAATTTTAACAGTATTATTGAATTTTGTTATTTTCTTTAAAATTAGACTGAGAAAACATAGTTGCAGGAAAAAGTAACATCATTTAAAATATATAGGTTAAAAATTATACTCAATAATAAAAACACTTATTATAAATCTATGGCTGATAAGCATGTGCATCTGAAAGTTCTGTCATTCTTGAACTAGACAGGTGGTTTTCCAAACAATTTATATATAATCTGTATTTGACTTTTTTCTTACTCAGTCTAAATTTTCCTTTCCTGTTAATTTTTTATGCTAAGTTATTATTTTTATCTCCTAATTTCAAAATGTATGAGCTACATTCGTAAATAAACTTTTAATTTGTATATTTTCATTGCATCCTAGAATATGTGATAAACAACTATATCCTTTCAAAAACTTTAGTAATCAACCAACGCCAAATTATAATTTATTTCAAAATTATCCAAAATTGCTGAAAATATTTTTCAAAACATAATTACTTTTCCTAGGATTACAAGATTGATTTCCAATTCTGTAATTACTCTTATCTCTAGAACTATCTTAACATTAGCAAAAAAATTTCTTTTTTCTTTTAAGGAGCCTTTTGTATATCTGGTTACATGTATTCCATCTAATATAAATATAGTGGTCATTTCAAACACACAGATGCCATACTTTTAAAAAGTACCAAGTAACTGCTTAGGAATGAATGCATGAATGTATGACCTCATCCATCTAAAATGTTTGATGGAAAAATTTCAAAAATTTTTCTCAAGATACACAGCAAAAATGTGACCATGTAATGCAAATAATTAGGCAGATTGCTAGTCAGTGGTCAGCTCTCTCACTTGTTTGCCTTATAAGGACATTTGACTTCTTTTGTGAGAGGCTTATATGGCAATAGATTTTATTATTGTTCCAATCTAGGTGAGTGAGTTTTAGTGTCAATGTCAAAGGAAACATTGCTAGTTAAATTCTGAGACTAACTTACTGTCTGCATGGATTTCTGACCATCTCATTTTCTTTGCCCAAACTCTGAGCTGTGGACTCTTAGTAATGCAAGTTCTGCTGCCTTTCTCTGATTCCATTAACAGTGGTGCTTGATGTTTGCACAGTGATGATTTTTTGTTTTAAATATTAAAATTTCAAGGAGGAAAGGAAAGTAGGAGACAAAATTGGGAGCAACATTATATTCCAACCTTAGAATGGAAATCTAGGGAGTTGGAGTTTTCCCAAACTCTGATTCCTGGCTTACAACAGAAAACTACCTTTATGAGTCTCTGTTCAAAAAACTGGAAAATAAAACTCAAGAATTTCTTTATTCCTTTGCTCTCCTATTCCTTATGTGCTACACTAGCCTTTGGATCTGGTTTTATAAATCTTACAAATCTCATACTTACAGTATGCATGGAATACATTTTGCAGTTGGACACCCATTTGAGTTTTATCATGTTACTTTTTTCTAATTATACAAAATAGAGAAATTAATTTTTTTAATGGAGCTGAATATGTTATGAAATTGATAATGGTATTTTGAACCTCAGGAGCAATAATTGCCCAGCAAATTTACCATAGTATTGTTTTGATTTTCATTGATTAACCTGGCATCTGAAAGACACAGTTTCGTAGGAAAGATGTATCAGTCAATAGGGCCATGTGACTCCCTGACATTCCACAAAACAGACTCTGTGACAGTTAGTGATGTCAAGGTCACTGAGAAGACAAATGTTTCAAATTATCATTGGATGATGCAATTGCCATGATGCCCAAATACAGTCATTTAGGCTCTGTCTGAACTTTTCTACCTCCTTATTTTTAGCTACTAACATTGGTTCTTGTAGAAATTTCACCCTCTACAATGATTCAGAGATAATAATCCCTACTTTAAGACCATATAAAACATGTCTAAAGAGAAATTAGCATAATGTATTTATTTATTGTTTATTTGAAAGAACACTAAATAGTGTGTTATAACCACACTGTATTAGACTTAATATTTTTCTTTTATTTTAGGTGGATTTGGAGATCATGGTATGTCAAAGAAACGAGGGGCCCTCTATCAACTTATAGACAGGATAAGAAGAATTGGCTCTGGTATATCAATGTTTAAAGTTGCAGACGCTTGACTTGATGTACAGTAAATATTATACTCATAGAAGTTTAGTTTATTAAAATCTGTGTGTCACTATTCTGTGAAGTAGGTAATAGATAATCTGAGAGAGTCCTTTCTTCATTTGCATTGTTAGCTCATATTTGATGTAAGGATTTTAGAACTTAAGTTGGAGTATCCTGAAATTTTCCTCTGATTTAGTTTGAGCTTTTTGTTATTCAAACTACATTATGCATTAATTGTGTTGTTTATATTCATTGCAGTTAGTTTATCATGCCAAGATATTTTATAAACCATAGAGCTTCATCAATTTTTATCAAATGAAAATAAGTCATAGGTATTTGCTTTGAAATAAAATCCAGTTTCGTTAACTTAGCAAAATGATACTTCAGTTTAGAAAACAGTTGATCCAGGCATGGTTGTGTATGCCTGAATTCAGAGCACTTGGGAAGTTGAGGCAGGTGGACTGCAATAAGTCACAGATCACCCTGTGCTAAATCGTGGATTTTAAGACTTCTTAAGCTATAAAGTGAGACCAAGTCTCAAAAACAGAACAAAACCAAAAAATAAAATCAAACAGGGTAAGAATTAATGTTTTCAATCACTAAAATATTTACATATGCATATATTTCATAATTTCATTCTGAATTCATGATTAGTTTGTATATGATATTGAATTCATTTCTATTTGTAGATTTTGGACTCTTGCTTTGAAGTCCTCTGTTTTTTATATCCTAACATCCTTTCAATTGATAGATTAATAACTAAATGCTCAAAGAGCCTATTTTTCCAGAAGTATTTTTCCTAGGAAAGATGACTTGCTCAAGGACATCAAAGAGATAGACATACTCAAAACCTAGGCATAGGAACAGAAATTTACTCTTTTCCACTTTATATTAGTAGGGGACATTTGTAACAACTGGGACAGATGAATCGAAAGAATCTTCATACAAAGTTGTGAAAAGAAAACACAGTAAAAAACTTCCATGAAGGCCAAGATAATAAGATCTTGACTTGGTGATTTCTCAAGGATAAGCAGCATTTTCTGCTGTTCTATCACTGTGGATCATGCTGATAGCTGGAAAAGAATACACAGGAGGTTGGAATGGACATAGCCCAGCGCTTGTCTCAGTGACCAACACCACAGTATCCTGACCGATGTCCATACTGTGGCATTTACAACTTTAGGCTGTGCTGCTAGAATACCAATCTTGATTTAAAGGATTAACTATTCAATGAGAATTTTAAAAAAGGTCTTGAATGTTTTAAGCATTTACTAAGCATTATCTGTTTCATCTTTGGTGAGTGGCTCATGAGTTGATAAGGTAGAAAATATAAACAAGTTTTCTAGGACCTTATGCCTACCTGACTTCTACTTCTATAGGCCATTAGACGGAAATTCATCACAGTTACTGTGATGAATTAGGAAATACTATTAGGAAATAGTAATGTACCATGATACACTTAAACATTTTAATGCTTTTCTTAAGTATGTAATATAACTGAAGTTTTCCTTTAATGCATTTACCTCCAGCATATTCATACAAATATGTAAATAAGACATTTCAACTTCTGTCCTTTAAGAGGTAAATAATTCCCTGACCAACAGAAGACTTCTGTTTCACAGAATGTTTTAAATGTCACTACAGGCTTGGAGCAAAACAGCACAATAAAAGGAAAAGTACCTCTAAAATTCTCAGGGCAAAATGAGAAAAATCGCGTTCCGAGGGCTGCTACATCAAGAACAGAAAGAATATGGCCTGGAGGTGTTATTCCTTATGTTATAGGAGGCAACTTCACTGGTAAGATAGCCCCTGCCTTTACGTGTCATTAAAAATGTTAGGCAGATTATAATTTTTTATAGACCATTAATATAGAAATATACTCTCTAATCAAACTGAAAAAAGACTCAATTAACGTAAGTTGCTAGTCTAGAATATCTCTGACATTGAAACAAAACATTCTGAGTTTTGCATTTTGAGTCTAAAGTATTGTTTTAGCTCTTGAACTGTTTCATTTACCCAGTAAATGCAGAAAGCGACTTCTCTTCCTTGACAGGTGGTGTGCACACACCATTTCCAGAGTCTTGTACCCACATATCTGTAGAGATAGTGGGCCTTAACCTTCTGATTATAAAGTGAGTGTCGATTCTGAACAATGGCTCATGTGTGGTGTGGCGCTGTAAAATAGACTTGGGTTGATGACAGAACTGTGAACCAGGACAGGGGTGGGGGGTGTAGTCAACACAAAGCCCACCTCCCTGGGGGGCAGACACTGTCTTATTAAAGTCATGAATTTTTCCAGGCAGCCAGCGAGCCATGTTCAAGCAGGCCATGAGGCACTGGGAAAAGCACACATGTGTGACTTTCATTGAGAGAAGCGATGAAGAGAGTTACATTGTATTCACCTACAGGCCTTGTGGGTAAGTAGAACTGAGGAATGATTTTAGTTTTGAAGGAAAAAGGTGAAAAATCTATAGGTAAGATTCCTTTCTTCTTGTTTGCACTGTATGTTAGCCAAGAGAAAGCCTGAGTTTTGCATAAGAAAATGCATATCCATCAAATATATTTTGTGACCGCAGGATTTTGTGCCTCTATTGCAGGTAATTTCTCTTACAACAGTAGTGTTGCCAACATTCCACTCGCTTTAGTTAGGAGCGTGAGTCTCCCTGTCCTGTGCATTGGCCGCGAGGAAGTCCATGTAGTTAGTTTCTAGGACAGTTACCCACAAGCTATTCCGTGTGCCCCTGTTCCACCAACTCCACCCCTAGAATTATCTTCCAAAAATACTGGTCAGAGCAAGATTCAACACTCTCTGTGACTATTTGGTGTTCTCTCCTCCAGTGATGCTTATAAATTTATTTATAGGATAACAAACGCTTTCTTAAAAATAATCAGGGGAAAGGCAAACAAAAACAAAAACAAAAAGAAGACATGAAGTTGAGAAGGGGTGATGGGGTCGGTGGAGGGACCAGGAGGAGTGGGATAGAAGGGAGCGGAGGCTGATATGATCAAAGGACACGTAAGAAACTATCAAACAAAATAAAAATGACATCCTAAAATAAATAATAAGTTTAAGTGCTGGCAAGATGGCTCAGAGAATGAAGTCCTGGTCACTAGATCCAATGACATGAGGTTGATCTCCAGAAACCATACAGTAGAAGCAGATGACTGACTCCCACAATTCATCTCTGATGTCCTCCTGTGCACAGGGCATGCTCATCCACACACATGCATGCATATGCACACAAATGAACACATGCATGTAATTTTTAATTAAAAAAGATTCTGTAAATACAGAGATTATATTTTAGTACCTATTTCTACAGTGGAATACCAAGGGGGGAATTATTGAAATCGGAATTATGTTTCTGATTAGAAAGAGAATAGTTACTCTTTCCTTTTAGAAGTGAAGCTTTTCATTCCTATCCCAGAACAGAGCATTTTATGAAATCCTGACCCGAGAATATAAAATACAAATTTCTTGGTATGGCTCTCTAAGAACACCAAGAACTTAGAATGTCCGTTTCAGCTCTTTCTGCCTCCACATCTCCTTTTAAAAATAGTTTACTTACTATTTTTATTTTAAGTCTATCAGTGTATTGTCTGCATATAGGCAGGTGCACCTGTCTCATGCCATGCCTGCAGAGTTCAGAAGAGGGGGTCGGATCTCCTGGAACTGAAGCTACAAATGGCTGTTAGCTGCAGTGTGGGCGCTGGGAATCGAACGTAGGTCCTCTGCAAGAGACATCAGTGCTCTTAACTGCTGAGCCATTTCTCCAGTCTCCTCTGCCTCCACATCTCTATGCATCGCTCACATTCCAGTCATGATAAAAGATTGCAGTTGTCCAAAATGATGTTAAATATTTTAAAGGTCCTTTTATTGCGGAAGTTTCAAAAGTATCCCTCATGTAGTTCTAATTAGCTGGCATTTTTGCCGAAAGATTTGATTAAATGTAGCTTATTTTTTTCTAATAGTATTTAGTAGCAGACTTTATTTTGCTTTTCCTGTCAACAGAAAGAACATACGGCTGGATCTGCTACATTATGACTGCTCAATAGATAAAAGTTGTGGCAGTCATGCCCTTCCACTACAAACATCCTCTTCATTACAAAATGTTGATTTTTCTAATGCTGTTATTTTATTTCTTTTAAATTTATTATCTGAAGTTCTTCTAGAGACAAGAATTTGCTCTACTCTGTTACAGCTATTTGGATACTCTGTGGCATAGTTCATATAGGAAAGTGAAAATAGATACTAAATTCTTTAGAAGAAAATAATTCCGACCCTATTATCATGCTCTTTTTTGTATTTAAAGGGGAATATGTAATACCAGTAAGTCTTGAAGTGGGCCCATTACATCATCTTTTCTTTCCACATATTTTTGTAGAAGATGATTTAACTTATAAAAGTAATGTACTTCAATTTTGGCATGATCTGAGTGACATTAAGGAAAGTTAATCATTATCTCTAGATATTTTGGAGAGTGTCATAAATTATTATGTGTTGTTCAATAATCAAATAATGTTTCTTTCAAATTACTCTAATTTTGGCTAAAACAAGTTTTGGTTACTTTTGAAATGCTTCCTAGTTCTTTATATCTGTTTAATATTTTTTAAAATTTCATTTATTATGTTTATTTTATGTGTATGAGTGTATTCCCTCCATATGTGTGAGTGCATCTGTGTTGTGCAATGCCATGGAATTCAGAAGAGGGTGTTGGATTCCCCTGGAACTGGAGTTAAGGATGGTTTGTAGCCACCATGTGGGTGCTGGGTATCGAACCCAAGTCCTCTGCAAGAGCAGTCAGTGCTCTTAACCACTGAATCATCTCTCCAGTGGCATCCAAATCTTGAGTGTGCTTCCTTCTGATTATCTAATTCTACTAGTTATAAATACATTTTACGTGTTTCTAAATATGTGATGTCTTTGGGGTCAATACATCTTTCCCCTTTCTCACTCACATCCAAAGCTCTATTTTTGTTTTTAATAAATTGGTATTTATACTTGTTTTACTTTGTCCTTTTTGGCTGGTTTTTCCCATTTACTGTCTTTCATGTTTTTGCTTGTCATGATTTTATTGTTTCTAAAGCCTTTGCCAGGTTGGTGTTGTGCTAGAATGTAAGAGAGAAGAGGTTGAAGATACACAAGTTGGGGAAGAGTCAAGTGGTCATTTCTCAACTTAAGACAGTTCATTCCTAGGACAAAGCAGATGGTGTGGAGAAGTCAAAAGGGTATATTTGAAGAGGGATTCTCCTAGAGTGTTCATAAGAGGAGGAGGGGAATGTGAGTCCCAATTAGCCCACTCTTCCAGTATGCTTAGTGTTCTATTTCTAGAAACAGCACATTGTACCACATAAATGTCTATAGTTACTATTTGTCAACTAAAATAACCAGGGATAGGAGATCTCTCAGTTGCAGAGCACTTTCTTGGTGGGTTTCTTCCCCATCTTTCATTCTCACCCATTTTTGAGCTTCTCACTGTGAGATTTTACTCTACCCACAACTGTCATAGGCGTCTTACATCGGCTTACTCAGGTGTCCATCTTTGTCGTGATTAGGACACACAACTTACATCAATGTCCTTGACACACATGTTATGAAAATACTGACAATTTAAATGAAAACTAAGGTTCATAATTCTCTCATACAATAAAAGGATATGAGAATTTATCTTCTACATCAAAATAATTTGAAGAGGTTTTGAGAGCATATGTTTACTTCAATAATTTAAGAGATAATGAAAATTGAAGTTGTGACCCAAATACTTAAAATTATAGTTGCATTTCAAAATCAGGCTTTTGAGCATTATTATTTATAAATATATTTATGAATGTTACAGTAATATTTCATGTTGATGATATTTTCAGTACCATTTTACAATTTTATGTTTGCCTTATATTGTTTTTCAGTACTAGGAAATACTTTGTTTAGGGATAATACATTGACTTACTAATCATTTTAATTATTTTGTGACTTCTAAATTTCACCCAGAGTTAATATGATAGACCAAAATTTCATAAAACAGTTATTTCATAAATTTTGATGTGATAATGCTTCATGCCAGTCTCATAAAATTCATCTCAATAATAAAATTATTAAATTCTTGGGAGTTGGTGTTGCATAAAATATTTAGGACCAATTAGGGTATATCAAGCCAAGCACTGAACTCCCCTGCTGGACTTCAGTATTATATACATTATGTATTTGGAGTTGTGGCATTGAAAGTATAGCATTTAACAATATGTAGTGCAATTCCCTATGGAACATAGTGTTACTGTAATGTGGCGTCACTAGTATTGATGACAGTACTCATCAGTTCTGTTTGCAACATCCATACAGAAAGAAACACATTCTATTCAACAACATCACTTTCATCACTGGCTGTAGCTTACTCAATGAGGCAACTTGTAACCTTTATAATTTCTAAAAATAAGAACCAAATCGATCTCTTTTACGCTTAGAAGGAGAACTACTGGTTCAATGTGGGACTTTCAGTGTCTTCCAGAACTTTACATTTTCTGTCTTATTCTACTGTATCCAGTCTTGTTTCAGTTAACATATGTCGGTACCTCTTCTTTGCCAGGCCTTTTATAGGAAGAAAAGTAAGAAATAAAATTTGAAAACACAAATAAATAGTAAAAGGTTGTAGTCAGATTTTTTTTGCCATTTAACTTTAGTGCATGTCATTGTTTTAGATTATAACTGTTCATGTATCTTTATCAGAATGTCTATTTTTGTATAAGTGCACATATATCTTTCTAGGTATATTGTGTCTTTGATTCATTTTCAATAGGCCATATGATTTAATGCCTCTCCATATTTGTAAAAGGTTTAACGAGATGTTTTTCAATTAATGGCTGTTATGATAGTGGCATTTACTGATTATCAGAAAATTGTTGGCAAAATGTGATATCTTTTCCTAACAGAAGTTATTTGATTTGTCTTTGTGAAAGATTTATGTCACTGAATTTATTACTTTGGTCTATTATCCTTCATCTTCACTACCCTTATTTGGAGATCATGTATAAAGACTTTGGACAACTGCATTTAGTGTAGTGAATTCATGCCATCAAAACAAATGACCCCTTGATCTCAGCAGCTAGAACACAAACACTGTTTACTACCACATGTGCACTACTATTTAGCTCTTAATGTTCCAGAGTCATTACTCCTGTATGCTGTCTAATGGAGAAACCTCCCTGAAGACATTGTTTCTCTTGTTGCAGATGGAGAGGCAACCACATGGTCAGCCATGTGTTGGCTCTTAAAGATTTTCTCCAGAAATGACAGTTCAGGTTTCTGTGACACTGTCCAGAGCAAACCATATGACCAAACCCTGCATTAGTGGAGTTGGGAAGTATAATCATCAGCCCGAGAAGGGGAATGGATATTTTTGAACACTGACACAATTGACCGCAGAGCTGTTGCAAAATGGTATAATCTGATTTGACATTTAAAATAATCATGATATTAAGAAAACACTGTGGTCGGGAAGTAAGAACCCCCCCCCAAAGAGACAAATTAGTGAATAATTTCAACAATACATGTGAGAAATGATGGCTTAAGAAAGGGTATTATCAGTGAAAACCATGAAAAATGGATGGATTCTGAGCAATTGATCAAAGGTAGAACCATTAGGATTGACTACTGGAGAGAAGGGAAAAGCCAGGATTACTGGTGGTACTTGGCCAAAGAAAACCAAAGCAAGCTAGAGTCCCCTTAATTTTCACTAGGATTAGAAAATTAGTAAGAGAAATGCCTTATTGATTTCTTTACTTTTGTATTTATTCACTCAGTTATTCATTTATTAAGAACAAAACTGGGTAGATAATAAGCTGAGATATTGACTCTTCATCAAAGTGGAGAGATTAAGAAAGAGTCCTGTCTTGAGGTACCTTATAGTTTAATCTCCTTTAAGAAGTTTGAATCATGCCAGGTGTGGTGGCGCATGCCTTTAATCCCAGTACTCAGGAAGCAGAGGCAGGCAGATCTCTGTGAGTTCAAGGCCAGCCTAGTCTACATAAAGAGTTCTAGGCCAGTTGGGGTTACAAGGAGACCCTGTATAAAAAAGACCCTCCCCCAAAAAGAATTGAGTCATTTACATGAAAACTATGAATGATTAAATAATTGGATCAAGGATCATTGTGGATGAGAGGGTGGAGAGATTTCAAGAGCTGGAAGTATTGAATGATTGCAGCAAAACATTGTTTGCTGGACATGACAGGGCTGTTGCACACATGAACTCTCAGAGACGTGACTGTATGCCCAAGACCTGAGCAAGATCAAACCATGAAGCTTCACCCCCATCTGAAAACTTATTGGCAATTGCTGACTACTGGGGGAGGGAGAGTAAGATTTCTTCAGAGATGCAGCTCTTGAAAGGCTGTCCATGCTCCAGTAGATGGTCACACACTCATGTACATATAGACACCATTAACTGGACTCAGTGATTTAAAGAGAGAGAATGAGAGAGAGAGTGGGGGCTAGGAGAGAAACTGGAGGGGAGAGAATTGGTTAACTAACCCAAGACAAAAATAAGGAACTAAATTACTTTCTATAATTTTATAAGTAAAACTTTCCTACTGATGGAAAAGGTTTCCCTTGAGAGGACAAATTGACATTAAAATTGTCACACTGTAAAAATAACACACAAGTTAGAAATAAAGAATCATGTAGAAAAAATGACATTAAACATGGATTTCATTAGAAACTAAGATAATGTTTGTATATGATTAAATCATCCTTTTAAAAACTGCATGTTGCCTCATCATCTCATGTCTAATATTTTTATGAGCATTTTAGTTAACCTTACTGTCTATAATTCTGTTCCTAAGACCTTTAGTTTGTCAAGAATCAAAGCACCACATTTTTTTTTAATTTCGCAAGACCATTGTAAAATAATAGCTCTGTGAATAAGGCAGTATAAAATCTATTTTTCCTTTCCATTATGAAACTCCATCTTATTATAGGAAATAGCTGTGTGTGGATTTATGCCAAAAGGGTGTTTTAGGATTAAATGAATAGACCGTATTGCTTTGCTGTCCTTCAGAATTCCTTTTTTAAAGCACTGTGTTCTCTGAATATAAACCAGCTAGGATGACTCAATGTGCATAGTTTAATTGCTATATAATCATCAGATATTTCTGTTGCTTTAAAAATAGCAAATATTTCAGTTTAAATATTTTAAATTTACAAAAGAGTATTGTTTTTCTGAATCAAATAATTCTTGCGTATGTGAGCAATAACTTTTTGAGTATATAATAATTATCTATGTGAAACTGGAACATATTATTCATAAAACCTATATAGGGGCAAAAAACCCCAGTTCATTAATCATCACTCCTCCCCCACCAGTTATCCAAGACTTTTATTGTTGAAATATTAAGCTTAATTTACTGATATAACAGACTCATAACTAATGAGCATGAATTAACTCATTAAATTGGCATAGTGTGGGTATAAAAAGCACACACATTTAAAGCCTACAGAACTAATTTAGGAAGAATAAGGGGGCAGGGGATGACAAACGATTTACACTTGTGGAAAATCAACAGGACTGTGCAATGTATTTCTTCTGGAAATTAAAGAGGTGAAATTCCTTTTCATTATTTGAGCAATTATTTTTTTGTGTTTTTTTCTTTTACTTTAATAAATCAAAAGGGCTTTAAAAATGTGTACTGCACTGTGATTCCCAGCCCGAAGATTAATAATTTAGTGGCCTCTATTGCTGTCTAGGAGGAGAGTCTAAGAAATGATCTCAGTTTCAAAACTGTAATTATTAATATCTCAGATATGATTTTACTTGCACTTATAGTTTCTACCATGGTTTAAAACTTAAATAGATATCTTGTGCACATTTGCTCTTATAATTGTGTATGGAGAACCTTTTTCCATACAGCCACGCATGTGCACATATGACACAAATGACCTCACAGAACGTACATTTTGGAGGAGTATGTACAAACATCCATAAGTTGATGAAAATGTGCAGGAAGTTGCATCTGAGTACTTCACATTCTGTCTGATCAGCAAGGAAACTTTTTCAGTAGGTGCCATAAATATTACACACTCTTATGAAGTAGCTTGATTGATAGACACATACCACGGAAGTCGAATAATGCTTTGAACTGCTACCAATTGTTGATTCTTCATGAGTTTTAGACCACGTAGTAGTCTATTACTAACTATCAGTAGCTTAGAAACTGAAAATTTGTGTGCTCATTTTGAGGGTGCTCCTTGGGTATTAATGACTATGCTTGTGCTGTGTTCTCATACGGTGGAAAGATGAAAGTAGCTCTCTAGAGCTTTCTTCATAAGGGGTCTGATCCTGTTTTAAGGATCCATACTCATAACCAATTAGTTTCCAAAGGCCCCACTTCAAACATTAGGGGCTAGCTTTCAACACATGGATTTTAGGGAGACACTAAGATTCAGCCTTTTGCCACAGTTAACTATTAAAACTAGATAATTCATTATTTGAAAAAAAATCATCAATAGCTTTTGTTTCTATTTTTATTTTTATAACAAAAATAAGTTTATTACGATGAATTCATAAATGTAAACCACAGCGTACTTGTGGAGATCAGAGGACAGCTTGCTGGAGTTGGCTCAATCTCTCTCTACCGTGTGGGTCTTAGGAATCAAACTTTGATGGTGAGGTTGGAGACAAGCTCTTTTACTTGGTCACCCATCCCACCCCCATTTTTGTATGTGTTGTATGCATGCGTGTTTGCATGTGTGGGGATACTTCTGTATAGGAAGGCTGAGGCTGATGTTGGGAGTCATCCTCGATCTCTCTTCCACCTTATTCACTGATGCATGCCTCTCAATCAAACCTCAGTCTGGACCATATGACTAGTATCTGTCACTCTAGCTCTGGTGACCTTCTGTCTTTGTTTTTGAAGGCTGGAGTTACAGGGGCCAGCAGGCTTGTTTACAGGGGTTTCTGTGAATCCAAGCTCCAGTCTTTACACACAGCTTAACCACTGAGCTATTTCCCTAGCCCTTCAACTAACTTTTAAAAAATGTTTTCTAGAATGATACGATTTCTAAGAATAGAAATTTGTGTTTTGGTCAATCAAGATCTTTCATAGATAACTTCATTTCTCTTTATATTAAAAGGAGAAAAGCAAAATTTAACTTAATAATACAATAGTATTTGATTACTGCTAGATAACCACAGTGATAATTTAGTAACTATATAAGCAGGTGTTGAGGGTGGAGTGTAACTTCCAACAGCAAATTAGACATCATCATGTCATAATTATTTCTGATCATTTTATAAGACTATTTATCATCTAATATATAGATAATTGCCAAGCACTTAGTTAGAAACTATTGCCATATATTAATTTAAAGGTATACTAGAAATTAGCCTTACCAATGAAAGGCTGTTCTAATTTTGGACCCTATCTTTGGCCACATTGTTTCCAGAAATTCCACCACATTGTAATGAACCCAGCAGTCCCCTTTCCACCAAACTTTTCTCTACTTTCTGCCTTATAGATGCTGTTCTTATGTTGGTCGGCGAGGAAATGGCCCTCAGGCAATCTCTATCGGGAAGAATTGTGACAAGTTTGGAATTGTTGTTCATGAACTGGGCCATGTGATAGGGTTTTGGCATGAGCACACACGCCCAGATCGAGACAACCATGTAACCATCATAAGAGAGAACATCCAGCCAGGTGAGAGGTTTCAGACCTGGAAGCATTCTTTCTTTTTGCAAATAATGCAAATATTTTCTAATGTGATAGAGTCAATAACTTACTGTTTTAAAAATTATCCTTTCTAAGCTACTTTCTTAGGTTGAGGTTATTTCTAAATACCATGTTTTTCATGAATGGATGCGAGTTCCATAAATGAATAATATATAATGATTTTTTTAAATACACAGATTTGTACTGTAATTTATGCATATGGATTTGTAAGAGGGCCCAGGCCTTGCTGGGACATGCTTCAACCACAGGAAATCTATGCTGTATCAGGTACAGTTTCTGGAGAAAATTCCAGAGAAACAAGTCATTCCTATGACAGTCTTAATAGTTGTTCTTTGAGATTTATTCCTCTTATACTTGATTACAGTAAGGATGGATTCTTAAGAATGTTTTCAATAGTTGAAATACAGTTTATGATGAAAGTGTAATTTTCTCAGCATCTCGTGAGTGATAATACCATCATTATAAGAAATTAAGGTATTATTATAAGAAGTTAAGGTATTTCTCTTAACTTTTACATTCATCAAGATCATTACATTTCATTCATCAAAAGTTCCTAAATTCTCTTTTGCCAGCATGTATTCATGTATTTTAAACATGAACATAGCAAAAAGAAAGGGTTCTTATTCACAATCAATTAAAGTTGAATTAGAATTTTCTGTGATCAGTAGGGCTGATCGCTTTATTTGCTCCTCATCTGTTGCATTCCAGTTATTTACAGAGGCAGTATTTGTTGGAGACATAATGGAAAATACAAAGCTCAGTGTGGGTCCTATGGATCAGATGATTGTGTGAAAGAAGCAAGAGTCATATTTTGAGAATATTGTAGAATGAGACTGTTGTAAGCATAGAGTGACACATGTTCCTCCAGATGTCACAAAAATAAAAATGAAAAATTTAGTTAATACAGCAGGCAAAAAACTGGTGAAATTTCTAGGCTGAAACTAACTCATGAATATTGTTCTAGTCTGCTTTTTGCAAACTAAACATTCTGACCAAAAGCAACTTGGAGAGGAAAGCGTTTATCTGTCCAGAACACAGTTCATCTTTGAAAGAACTCAAGGTGGGAACTCTGAGGCAGGGAACCATGGGAGAAGGGTGCTTACTGGCTCTCTCCCTCTGGCAGGTACTCAGCCAGCTTTTTTAAAATATAATCCAGGACAACCTGCCCAGGGATGGCACCACTCACAGTGGGTGGGGCCCTCCCACATCTATCAACAATGAAGACAATTCCCCACAGACATGGACACAGGCCAATCAGATCTGGGGAAACACCCAAATGAAGCTCCCTCAGATGACTCTGGGCTCTGTCAAGTTAACAGCTAGAGCTAACTAGGACAACTATTTTCAGCTCTGTGTAATGGCTGCATGGTAAATTATAAGTAGAAGATTAGTTGTTAAGTACCTGGGGAAGTTAGAATCAGAATGATCTATATGAATCCAGGAAATTTAGGCTTTATTTTCCAGCTACCAGGGAATAATTGAAGGATTGTGAACAAAGTAAATTCAGATTTGAAAAAAGAATTGTGCTGCTGTAGGGACCATTGACTCTGGGTAGAGAGATAAGATTGAAGTCCAGAGACATATCAGAGTTCTGAATACTTTATGAGAGATGAGCAGATTCTTAGACAAGGCAAAAAAAGGGCAAGAATGAGATGCAGGAATATTCTCAAAATAATTGAGGGTGAACATTGGGGTGGAATCTTTTAATGATTTATTTCAGGAAACAAGATGAATATCGATATGTCAAAAATAAATATTGACAAAGCACAGTCCTTTTGAGAAGGACAAACACTGATTACCATAATTCTGGATTTAAAGTCCCTCGAAAGACCTACCTCTTTAGTGCAATAGGCTATGCCACTCTCATAAAAACCCTGTAATGATCTTCCTGTAGCTCAAAGGAGGGACGTATCTGAAGATAAACAACTTAGTGGATTTAACTATCTCGGAGAGAGAGGAGGGAGAAAGAAGGAAATCGTTGAGTGAGAAAGATGGATAGAAGCAGTTGTTGAGCCCCATTTAGAGAGTATCTTTTCCAAGACTAAGGTATCATCTAGGAGATCAGAGCAAAGTCAGTGGATATGATGTCCACAAACCAGGGGAAGTCATTTCAGGATTGATGAAGTCCTCAGCAGATGAGATATCAAAGTAAAGGAAATGTATACCCTCCATGGAATCTGAGTCAATTTGTTAATGGTCATCTCATACATTATATCATTAATGAAATAAAGGGGAGACATTATTCCTGAAAAAATTCAAGTATCAGTAAGTGAGAAGAACTTTGCTGTTAACTAGCTTTTAGCTGTCCTCTGTTCATCAAACTTTTTATTATGTGGACCAACAAAATAAAATAAACTTGTAAGGCATGCAGTCTCTTAAAATGGTTCATACTCAAGTATGATTCAAATGATTATATATGGACAAAAAAGAAAGAACTGTATATGCAGTATAAATAGATTCATAATTAAAACCTAACAGTGCTCTGGAAATTATAACTCTTATTTTTTTTTTTTACTAAACATTCAGGCTAATAGGAAAAAATAGTTATTGGATGAAGTTTCTTTAGTCACTGGGGCATCTACAACAGAGAGATTCCAGGCTGAAAGTATCCATATTGCAGATAAATTGGCTGTAAATTTATGCTCTGACTATAAGATCAGGTGATTTTTAACAGCAATGACTAATAAGTGCAAACTTTGGCCTTAAATTTCTATACAAATTTTCTGATTATAATCAAAATGAAACTTGTATGAAGATGATTAGTTTATGTTAGAATATGGCTTTAAATCATAAATTATTATAATCATTTGCATAGCGCCCCCCAAAGCATTACAATTTTAAACAAACAAACATTAGGAGATGATAACAGAGTAGATATAGAAAAGATAGCTAAACTATTCTGGTAGTCTGACCTACTTTCTTAAATCAGCTCATAGATATCAAAGTGAACAGATATGCTTTTTTATTTGTTGCATATGTACACGCACACATATATACATATATGTATATATATTAGTAATAGAATCAGTCAATAAAACACAGAGGAGGTAGGCCTCTGAAGTGCTTTTCTCTTTTCTTTTAATTAAAAGTCTTCTGCAATTTTGCTTTTCTTGATTCCTAGGTCAAGAGTACAATTTTCTGAAGATGGAGCCTGGAGAAGTGAATTCTCTTGGGGAGAGATATGATTTTGACAGTATCATGCACTATGCCAGGAACACCTTCTCAAGGTTGGAGTCTCAGGTTATACCTTTTGACTTTTAATTCCTTTCCTCCATGTGGTTTCCCACAAAGCTGTGTTTATCATTAGCATAGAAGCACGTCCAAATATTGTTGCTCTAGGGAAAACCGAAGCAGAGAAATGGTGGTTAACATTCATACCATCAGCAGGTATTCATTTAAAAGACATCTTTAAACATGCTTTTATAGTTCCTATATACATTGAAAGCAATGATGAAAGCGGTGTAGATTATTTAAATAACTTTATATCCACAAGTTATTAAAAATAATGAAAACAATTACTTAGCCCACTAGCATGTTAAACTGGCAAAGCATTATTTAGTAATAATTGGGAATTCACAAGTTAAATATGTTATTCATTTGATGAGAAGGGACGTCAGATTTTGTATGTGAACTGTGTTTTAAGCTGTGCATTTTCACTTTTTTTGTACTATGTATGCCCCAAATTTGATATTAGTATATACATTTTCAGAGATTATGTTAAGAAAATATTTTACTTTCATGCAGCTTGGAATTATAATTCACAATCTATCAACTTAAAAAATCATATCATTAATAACCTAAGTCACATTTAGAGCTGTAATAAATTTGGGGTATGATCTGCTTCATTTTAAAGATGATTCCATCAAGCAAATAGCTTCCAGGTAAGGTATTTGGAATAACTAAGGCACCAAACTCATCCATCTTTTTGTTCATCGACCCCTGCTTTGCATCCGCATGTCCATTTCCAATCAATTTTTTATGCACTTCTGTCCATCTCACAGTTCATCTACATCTATTTTTAAAAATCAGTGTTAAATAGAAGGGGAAAAAAGCACGTTTATTCCCAGTTTTTTTTTTTAAACTAAAAAAACCACCGTTAACAAGCCCTTAAAATGCTATCCATGTAAAAATCCTTTCTTAGAGAAGAAAATCTTAGAAAATGAATGTTTACGGGATTTGGAAAATGATTTTCTTCTAAAGTACATATAATAAATACATTTATTTAAAGATATATTTATTCAAACATAACATTCAAACACTTATTGTTCCTGGAATTGGAATTTAAAGTTTTTGTAGAAATACACTTGGAAAATCTGGGCTGAAATCAAAGTTGTAAAATTTTATTATTAGGTCAGTACTTGGAATTGAAATGAGTTTTCCATAGAAACCCATAAGAAATTGTGATGCGCGTTCACAATTTAGTTCAGCCAAGACTGCTCTCTCATGGCACTAAAAAAATTATTTAGAATTAACCCGAGGTTTGAATCCTTGTAATTCAGGAGGTGCTGGAAAGTGGCTAAAGAAAACCCAAAGTATCCTCTATAGTTCATAGATAATGAATCTTTACTGAGGTTTGAATTACCCACTTCACTTTAGTCTGCACTCCTCTGACACTGAATGTGGATCTTTCTGTATAAGTTACTAAGCTCTTATGGCCTGCAGTCCATCTCTCCCTGGCCTGTCTTAACCTGCCAGGCTTGGCATAGTGTTCTTGTTGTCATAAATCTATCCTGTTTATCGTACAGTACCTGTGACCACATGCACAGGACCTGCACAAGATTGGGCAAACCCAAATCCCAGAACGGTCAGGGGAGGGGCTCACAAAGTCATCCCAACCCTAGCTGGGGGGCTATTGCATGTAACTCTCATGCTCTATTGGATGGCTCTACACCAGTGCACACACTAGCAGCACTAAATAGACTTGTTGGGCTTAAAAAAGAGTATGTGAAGCTGGGAGTGAAGAGTGGTGATGGAGGACATGAGGGGAATTGGAGGGGGGAGTGGGGGTGAAGTTGACCAAACACGTAACATGCATATATGAAATTCACAAACAACATAAACCTATCTCATACATTTCATAAATTAATCTAGGACTGGAAATTTGGCTCAGCAGTTAAGAGCACTGACTGGTCTTCAGAGGACCTAGGTTTGACTCCGAGCACCCACATGGCAGCTAACAACCAGCTTAACTGGAGTTCCAGGGTATCTGACACCTTCTTTTGACCTCTATTGACATTGCATGACACGGATGCACTTACACACATGCCGGCAATGCACTCGTATACCTAAAATAAAAAATAATAACTAAAAGAAAAAAATCTATCTTCCCACATTGTGAGAGATTTTGTCTATTCATTAAAGATAGTTGTCTAATT